TGCTTGACACGGGCTGCAACAAAACAGGAAGTCTGACATTGGGGAGACGCTTTCTACAAGACAAGCGGCTATAGTTTAACCCCGACCTTACATCGACACCCATGCAGAGAAAAAAAAAAACATTCAACAATGAGGCAAATCGGACCTTTCACCCCCATAACTGCCAGATCATTGGGTTAGCTGAGGGCAACCAGTGAATGATTGGCCTCCTGAGCAGAGAGGAAGCGTCTGGGGGTAACATGCAGGTCCAGCAGCTGTAGAGCCTTTCTGACGAGTGCTCCATGGAGTCCATGAGGGGACACTCTCACTCGCCCCATATTCTCCAGTGTCAGGGTTCCTCATTGAGAACAAAGTACTTATAATAAAAAAGAGTGCAGGCAGAAACAATACATAATCAATCATTTCTATTAATTAATAAATGTATTAACATTACTATTCCTTAACTCACTTAAACACACCGAAAACTATCTACAAATCAAGGTGGGTATCAGGTGAGGAACAGGCTTGTGGGAAGACATAACACAGCACTATGCTTCTCCAGCTCCTGGACGTTATTTCATTAAAATTTCATGTTGCAAAAACTGCAATACATTTTATTCAAGTGCAAAAGAGCGATGGGCTTGCTTTCAGCGCACAGTGCAGCGGCACCCCGTGCCGAGCGACGACCAAAGAGGACGGCACATCAGACTGCCTGGGAGAGGGTTAATGCCTGTATGTGTCACCGGTGAAATACGGGGAGAGGACAGAAGCGCCCGATAAGCAGTTATAAAAGCGTACGCTATGGAACATTTCATATCCAGAGGAATATCCATAAAACGCACCGTCAAGCTTGTGTATGAATGATATCTCGGTGTTCCCCCGGAAACGCTCTCACCGGCGGAGCGATCGCAGCCCCGTCTGACGCGAGTGGCAATGACTTCCTTTAAGGACGAGTGTTAGTCTTATGCTGCTCATCTGCGCGAGCCCTCTATGCATATGAGGGCCAGCTTGTCCTCAAGTAGGGAATGTGTGACTATGAGGAGCAGAAAGGGAACGGATGACCGGCAAACCAAGGACAGCTTTACAGGAAATGGTTTGATTGGCCCACATTGAAAGCCCACGATCTGTACATTAACTAATGGAGAATTCCAACAAAATGAAGTCACTACAAAGCATCTTTTTACTGTGGTGGACATTTACTGTAACAACCAACATTAATAGGAAACAGAAGAATAGCAGTGGCTGATTGGTCATCCTGACATTTAATACAAAGGTGACAAGATAGGGATGACTTCAATAGGTGAGCAAAACAGATAGAATAAAATCAGAAATACTTGTGGAACTTGGTTATTATATGAAATGTATGTATGCACGTTGACTGTCCTTTAACCTAAAACAGCTATTTTGTAACAGATAAAACACCACTATGGGTTTGAGACTGCAGGCTTAATCCATTTGCTGTCGAGTTCCACATTTTTGTTTTATCGATTGTAGTGTAATCAATCGTTGTATTCAATTTAGCATCAATGATCCTGAGAACTTTGAAAAAAACAAGATACTACTTTTCTTATTTCGATGAAGCAGAACAAATGGAATCTCGGCAATTTGCTTCAATTGCATCTAATCAAATAGCACTCGGGTTTCAGCTTTTCAGTCATGCTTGTCACTGACTGCCTGCTTGCCAGCTGTCTTTACACTGCTGCAAACTCATATTCCTCCCCCTCAAAATAACTGCATTCCAAACAGTTCCGGGGGCTTCCAACACCTTCTAAAAGTCCAGGTGTCCGTTCTGTCCCCCTCTGCCTGGAATCCAATAAGCAAGGCCGTATCGCTCTACATAGGAACGTTCCCTCTCCTCCCCACCACAACCTTACATGGAACACTTTAAGCGCCTCCACAAATTCAGCTTTAACTCTCCAGGAATCTTTCTACAACTGAGAAAGTGTTTTTCTCAATTAAACAGCCAACCTCTTTCCTTCCCCTAAAGTGCAGCATAAAGTGAACACTGGTGAGAATCTATAACTTTTATTAGTACTCATGGTAATGAACTATAATGGATATAAAAGTTTTTGAGCAGTTCTTTTTCTCCACTAAATAATGAACTAAATAATAGAGTTTACCTTATGGGGGTATCTCCAAAAGGCCATTTTCAGAGAAAGCATGTATATAAACATTAGTTTTGTAATTATATCTTTATGGGGACTTTCCATTCATTTCTATGGGGAAACCTCTAATCACAACATGATGATCTCAACTACCCAGACCTAACCTTAACCATAAGTAACCAAACAAAATACAAGACTTTTACACTAGTCTTATACAAAAATACAAGGCATTTTTAGTTTTTTGCCTGTAGTTTCCCCTTGTGGGGACCAAAAGAGTGCCCCCCACAATGTCAGAATAACAGGTTTTTATGACATTGTGGGGTCCCCACAATGTAATTCATACATAACACACACACACACAATGAGCCTAGTTTCCCGATCTGACCATTCCATGACATCAATACACATTAGTGCATTAGTGTTTGTTCAGCATTGCAGTGTTAAGGAGTCTAATTTCCTCACTGCACTATACAGCTGGAAAGCCTTAAGATCCCTGTCTTAGATGTACTGTATGTGACATCAGTGCTCACCTTTTACTAGGGCATTAAAACAATTACCAACGATGAGAGAGAACAAAACACAACCCATAACCAGCAGTAAATTAAGGAAATAATAAGGCGTAATAAACTGATTCTCCTTTGCATTATGGATGCCTTGTTCCTAGAACTGGACTTGTGACTATCAAAGATTCAAAGGAGGCTGTTGAAACCTTACAGACACACTATACATTTTAGGCTGCAGTACAGTCTAAAAGTTGCTTTACGTATAAGTCAATGCAAATAACATTTTAAATCCTGAAAAGGAATGGAAATTTTAATTCACTCTAATGGTTTTCGTTGGCTTTTCTTTCGATGTTGAAGAATGACCCGTGGTCAGATGCTGCACATTTAATTACTTTACTTGCCCATTCTTAACCACCGTGCTGGTTACAGCGTGGGGGTTCCGTGATACCCCCTATATGTTCCGGCAATTCTGCAGCGATGGCCCTGTGATGCACTCAGCCCAGCGTTAAAACCAAGTTCCACAAGTCATTATAAAATAAAAGCTAAGGCTAACCATTAGGGGCGGGGGCGGGGGGGGGAGTCAATTCAGTGACAAATTACGATTCTTCAAGGTAGCAATTTCTAGATCACCGCAGAAGTTAAAAATCGATTTTTAAATATCAGTTTAAAGGTAGGTTACCGCAATTGTGTTGGTCACATTTATTACTGTTAATATATTTGCCCAGTTCCACACACATTTTGTTAAGTTACTGACATGTGTGAGTTTGGAATGGTGCTCTAATGAATGAGCATGTGCAGAGACTTTTCCAGCACCGTTTCAATTTAAATTGAGAAGTTTGGGCGAACTATGGACAGGAATACGGTTGTCTGCAGGATTTTGCTGTGTAATACCACTAACATCTGTATGCGTTTCCTGACATCCTGTATCGGACGACCACAAACACATACTGTAGCTTCATGTGCAAGGCAACAACCCTTGACACAACTTCAAACAATTGCTCAATAAAGGCTCTTTAAAGTAAGATTAATCATCATTAGAGGAGTAACGGAACACAAAATTCACGGTGCAGTACAAACCTCAGTTTTATGTTCACAGTTCGGTGCAATCTTTGGTACAGCTGGGAAAAAGAATCTGTATGAAATTGTTTATTATTAAAACTGCAAACACAATCAGGAATAGCTGTAAACCAAAGAAGCTGATGCGTCTGTCGGCATGTCTGAATAACAAAACCTAAGATGCTCATTTGTGCACTAAAAATAAATACATAAAATAAATAAAATTTCAACCATCTGTCTGCATCATAATAATCATAATAAAGTAAATCCCATGTTGGCTACTGCTGAGAATGGTTGCATATCTGTAGCATTAAACACCCCTATAGCCTTAAATGCCAGCAAGACTAACTTACAAAGGCTGATTCTGCCTTAATACGGTCATACGCACACTTGGATGATCTCGTCCTAAATGAGTTAGCACGTTGGATGTCTTTCCAGCAACATATTCAGTATAACACAGCTGGCAGATAGTCTTATCAACGACTCTCTCTCCAGTGTTAATGCAATTATTTGGGAAACAAAATGTTCCAAAACTACTGATTTAAGTGACGTGAGAGGGTCATTGAGCCCTCCAGCACGAACCGTCACCAACTCACTGCCACAATTAACACGATGTGGGCAAAAACACGGAATCATTAAGAAACGTATGAATTCCATTAATTAAGAGATGTAAACACTAGGGATGTGTGGATCAATACTGAAACATTGATTCTTTCGATCTGAATACTTCAATTTGAGATCAGTTCTAATGTTAAAATATTGATTTTTCTCCCTAGTAATTGAAATGTTTATAGAATTATAGACAAAGGCACACTAACACGGTCCAAGGCCCCTGGGCTATTTCAGTTGTCAGCCCAACCACCCCCCACCCCCCTACCCCCGAACATTCTAGACATGCACTACAGTGCTATAAGGGGGGAGAAGAAGGAGGGGTCCCTCTCACTGAGGAAATGGGACCATCTACCCGCCGGTCAGTAATGTTTATCATCAGGGTTGGGCAAGCAGTGAATATCAGGATCGGTACTGACGATACCAACCTTGGACTGAATTGAAACCTGATCGCCTATTTCTAGTAAACACTGGATCCCCACCTGTGTTACTTTCCCCGCCATGACCGCTCTAATTCCGGGCACCCGATGGGTGTCCCACTACAGCAGTGTTTCTCAACCCAGTCCTCAGCGAACCCCAGCCAGTCCACGCTTTTGCTCCCTCCCAGCTCCCAGCCAATCAGGAACACCGAATAGCTGGTACAGGTGCGCTGGGAGCTGGGAGGGAGCAAAAACGTGGACTGGCTGGGGTTCGCTGAGGACTGGGTTGAGAAAGACTGCACTACAGGGATAATATGCTCAATACATACCTGACACTTCGAGAACTTTCACATTCAAATCTGTGAAGAAGACAGAGAGCAAGAGAGGAGGAGATTAATCAAAAATACAGCAGCATATGGTTCAAACAGAAGGTAACTCATGTTATCAAAATAATACCCAATCAGTAATGGTCATTTACTGGTCAATAGTGCATTCAAATAATTATAAAGCGCTAATCTAAGCCGGAGTTTCTGAGTTACATCAGCAGCATGAATTGAGTGCAAGATGTGAGAATATGTGCAAATTTGACAGCTGTTCCCTTTACTTAATATTAAACTCATCATCATGATGCAATAAACAGAGCATATCGGTGTCAACAGTCACACAAGGCCTTGTTTTAGAACATTTTGAGTTTTCAGTGAGAAAGACGAAAGAAAAATAATTCATTAGGCAACATAAAATCCTGATGAGGGACAGAAAGTAAAACAGAGCGAATCTATGGGGACGCCGCTTGCTTTTAAGGGAAACCACCTCCATGACACTGGCCATCCACAGAAAGCCATTCAGTCAGACATGATTCGCTTTTGATGCAGCAAAGTACAGGGTTGATGGAGAGCCGTGATCCCCACGCACCCACATATTCCTCAGGCTAGTCTCTGTGAGGACACATTCATAATTCATTAGGTCTGCCCTAGGATGGCATTCTGTCGCAGGACCCCTGCTTTTCAGTGAACAAAGAGTTCCCACTTAACAACAACGACAACAACAACCAGCCCCATAACACCAAATGCCTAATTCCGAACAAACAAACAAATAAACCAATGAATGAATGGCTCAGTCTAAGATGTGAAATCCTTCTCTGTTCTTGGTAAAGGAAAAAAACAGTAATACCATTATTAAACATTAATAAAAAAGAAAAAGTTTCAGCTACATTCACAAGCAAGCTGATGCCTCATGCTTCACACTAGACTGACGGAACAAACTAAAATAAAAACAGCCTAATTTTTCCAGAAGGAGGAAAAACTTACTTTCCAATGCCTAGGAAGAGCAGAACCCTGGACTCTCAGTATAGAAAAGGCCTTTACATTTCAAATGGATTTCTAAGACATTTAAATTTATCTTTATTCTGTTATTCTGACATTAAATTAAAAGGTATCTTTGGACTTAGCAAAGTTCAACTTAAATAGATCTTAACATGCCAACTAAGAAATTACAAACAGCCGAGCTATAGCACGAGCCAACCCTGTGCATTCCGAAACAGAGTTATAGAAAATTAAAGGCATTTCTGACCAAAATAATGGAGTTCTTCTTTCCCCCTCCCCCCTCCCAAAAAGAAACCTTTGAACAATTCAAGGTCATATGTATACTTTAAGGACAGCTGCAGACACGGTTCTAACAGGCCGTGCACTTGGAAAACATCACCTAAATACATAGCCGGGGCACCTGACAAACCCAGGGAAAATGAACAACAATTCAGATTCATTAAGTTCAGCAGTATTTAGGTAGCTAATTAGATGGCATTTAAAAGGAAGGCAGACCAGCTGTGTTTGTTGGCATTTTCAAATAAATCTACTATGTTGTCAGGCAGACACTTCTGTTGGGCTTAATCTAATTTGGTTGACGCACTCTTATGTGAAATCCCATATGCAGCACTTTTCAAGAATGACCCTATCTTCTATACTTCACTGCTTCCCTTTCCTTCACCACAGGCACAAACTTAAGAGGAGTTCCCACAACTTTTACTCCAGTTCTCTGAAGACTGGGATGGCCAAGTCTGCGTGCTCTGCTGGTACGTGTGACCCTACACTCCTAACGGTGTGCTAATGAGTGCGGCCCAGACAGCTGAATTCCCACTACAGCCAAGTCCTGCTTGAACGGGATAATTGCTAGGCTTCTGAAAAGCTATCAAAGTCCTAGAGTTCAGTTATATCTCTCTCACTGGACATTTGCTGGGTGTTTAAAAAAATCTTTTGAGGGACCTCAGAGACTCCCCACACCACCATCTAAAGTATGCAAAAAAATATAAAGGTTCCCATTTCAATGCAAATATAATGGCTATGGAAAAATAACTCACTGTAAGACAGGTTTCATAGGACCAGTTACACAAAACAGGATAATGATATCCTGTGAAAGGATCATTCTGCCATGTGCAGGTGTAGTAGTGGAAATATTTTGTCTTTTTATGTTTTTATACAAATAGTATTTTAAGAGGAGGCCCGAATATTTTAGTCCCGATGTCAATCACCCTTCAAAAACAAAAAAAGTCAAGCCCTAGGTAAACTTGACTTAGCCTTTACTCTTTTATATATCTAAAAACTCTTTTTATATAGCTAGAAAAAAAATAATATATATATATATATATAACGTGAATATATATTGTGAATTGCAACTGTACATATAAGTGAATGTGAGGTCTATTTTTGTACTGAAAGTTCCTTAGCTTCAGGCTGCAGGTAGGGCTTCATTTAGCGCAATGCCTGCCGTACGCACCTCGCCACGTGTCTCTGCGGCTCGTCAGAAGCACGCCGGATGCTGTTGCAGTAAGCAGTCTGTAGTTAACTCTCCCACATTTGTGTATTGGTAAGGCTTAAACTTGCTTAATTAATGATGTGCATGAATGCATAACGCTGTACAGTCCTTTTATATGTATGTTTCATTAATCGTAACTATGTTTTGGTGCAAAATCGCATGTATTTCATGCCATTCATAACTTTCCATGTATTCCATGCAGGCAGCAGGACAGACGGCTACTGACCGCGTGTTCGTGCTGATAGGCCCCCGTTCTGCTTTTGTGGTGCAGGTAACTGAGCCAGCCGACATTTTCACTGGTTCAGAACGGTTAATAATTTCAAATATTTGTTATTTCTGTGCGATTTGTAATCGCGTTTTTGCCGCTTTTTCTGTGTAAAGGTGCAAAATCGCAGTAATACCTAAGTTAAAAGCATACAATTATGGTGCAGCTCTTATTATAGCTTTTCGTTTGTCGGTGAGCACATTGTGTATTGTTTGACTTTTTTGTTTAAATATATATGTACATTTTATTTCTATGCGGTATGCATGCTGTGGCGTACATGTCATAGGCATTATGGGTTTAGCATATCTCTGTGAGAAGGCCGGTGGATGCTGCTGCTGAAGCGGGACAGACGGCTACTGACCGCGTGTGGCTGATAATAAGGCCTCATTGACCCCTCCATGCCTGGTTCCTGTCTCTGCCGTTTCACATCTGCTACACTGGCACACCTCCAGATGTGTGCGTTCAAGTCCAGACTGGGGGATTTTCAGGCTGAATGCCCTCCTTAAGTCCATGGCCATGTTTACCCCACTTCTTCTATAGCCTAAAGCAGGGTCTATAAATTAATGTAATGGTACACAACATTCTAGGTTTGTGGTACACAAGATTCAAGGTTTGATACAAACCTCGGTTTTGGGTTTCAGCTTCAGTACAGCAGGGAAAACAATTCGGATCTCTGATATGGGCTCGGGATATCCCTGGCAGGAACGCGTATAAACCAAAGGCAATGCATCTGTCGGCATGTCTGAATAACAACAACTAACAGACATGTATTTGCACATTGTAAATATAAATACGTAAGAAAAAAATCCAAAATATCACAGCAATCATAATGAACTAAAAGTCAGGTTCTCTACTACTGAGTAGGGTCAGATATCTGTAGTGATAAACACTCAAAGAGCCTTAAATGTCACAGGGAGACTAACTTCCAGTGGCTGTTTCTGCCTTGCTGAGATCCTACACACGTACAGTATAGATGATGTCACCTTAGATGAGCTGACATGTTGGATGTGTTTCCAGCTACATATTAGAACTGGGAATTACAGACCCAACGGGACCTTCTTGGTCTTATCCACGTTTCACTCACCAGTGTTGGTGTAATTTACTGGGAAGCCAAAATGTTCCCAAACCACCAATTATATCTGACTGCAACCAGCATTAGCTATAACCAACTGACAACCACAATTAGCATAGTCTTTTCAATGTTGAACATCCAATTGTAAATTTAGGTTCCTCCCATTTCCAATAAATGCATTAGTCCATTTCATTGTGTACCAAACCAAAAACGCCTACAATACGTGTATCGTAAGTGTATGGTCAAATACATTACAGCCCTATAAATTACAATGTGTGTGTTTTTTTTTTTTTTTTTTTATTTTTTAATGCACATACTGCCATCTCTATCCAGGATGAGTCCAATAGGGTCCAAGCTTGAATTTACCCTGTACTAGATTAGTTAAGCAAAATGTATGAATAAAAATGTTCAGCTAGTATAATAATAATAATGCTAGAGGGATTACAATAACTCAACGTTATACTGTAACTATTTACTATAATTACATGATCAGGGCACTTGCCATACACAAGTTAAAAATAGTCATGTTTAAGCAGCATTTTATTTAAAAGCGCAAATGGAATCTATTAAAAATATCTTCAGTACTTTTCTGTAACACAACAAAGTGACCTTTTGCTCTAACATTTGTTACCTCATACTGCCCTCATCTATGCCAGACCCAATCCAATCAAGAGCACAGGGCCTCACACCCACTTAACATGGCGTCCGACCCTGAATCTGTCACCAGACACCAGTGCACATTTAGTGGTCGGAGGGCACCGCTCTCCTTGTGACAGACATTTGAAACGTGTGCACCTCTAATTTAGTACTTATGTTATCAACAACGCTCTGCTGTTTGTTGTTAAATGTACCAAGCACAGCATTGTGACAGGAATAACAATTAATCCAGCTTCCTGCTTGCAGGTCTGTTTTACCTCTATTTACTCACTTGTGTACATGGAGCCAGAATTATAATTAATCACTGGGAACAATTTTCTTCAATGAATACAGAATTTTTTCTCGATGTTAAACATGATCGATACATTTCTGACACTTCGTATTGTGATGGGGACACACGAGCAGATAGTAAAGACACAAGCAGCATAACAAAAAAAATGAGACAACAACCAATATTCACCTGGATTTTTAGTGGGATTTTCCTCATTGTTATAATATTCCCACCTCTCAGCTGCGTGCTGAGAAGGTTAAACCTGATGTCTTTTTCCACAGCCACA